ATGATAAGAACCAATATTCATATATGATACATGGTGTATGCTTGTACTGTGGTTTGCACATATATTTGCAGCTTGTTCATCAGCAAGCCTGAATTGGTACAACGAGAGTCTCATCGTCCCAAATGGCTCATATGCTCTTACTGCCACAGACTGCATCAAATGCTCTTGTGGCCCCATCGATCTCAGGTGATACATTATATATATATATATATATATTACAATATTACAACATAGAAATTTATGTGTACGTTTGCAAGTTCTGTTTAATCATGATTAATTAACCCTATCTCTCTTGGGGAACGTATTCAGGCTGCAATGTTATCCATCTGGTCTGGAAGCTCCCTGCTTCAATTTACAGTGCAAAGATTCCAATCTTGTAATTGGAGACCAACATGTCACTTATTTCAAATCTGGCTGCAATGTCACCCAGTGTGTCTATCGTGGCCACAGAGGTGGTAAGATTCTAAGAAGGTACGTTCTTAATAATACGCTCACATACAATATCCAATTTGGGATCTCTAATGCACCACTCCTCTCATTTATTACACGATCTCGACTTCTCAGTTATTTTTCTCTTGTTTTTCTTTTAATCATTGAATTCTAATTCTTATCTTAAAAATTATATATGATATTTTTAATCAAATTATGTACAAACTGAGTTAGTTAATTGTGTTTAAATGAACACAATCTTTTCATATATGTCTTTATTTAACAAGGTGTCTTATTTAGAGGTGAAGGGTTAAGTAGTTTATTCATGAAGGATATTTTTAAAGAAAACTCATTAATTATATATTAAAAAATTAAAAATATTTTATATATTTAATATCTAACTTAAGAAAATGCTTTATATTTTTTAACAAAGGGAGTACTTAAAATTAAAATAAAAAAACATTTTGATATATTGCTGTGATGAAACAGTGTAGTTTTGCATTTTTTATAATTTTTTTAAATCAAAACTGCACAATTTAAAAAATCGTAAAAAAGTATTAAAAAACTTCATTTTATTACAATAAAATATTAAAATATTTTTTATTTTATATAATAAGAAGTCACAGCATTGCAAATGATATTAAAAAGTAGGGCATTGGAACCCCTCTGAATCACGTTGGCATATCATATGGCAAGAATATAAGACAAAACGACGCGTGGAATATGAATTTTATAAATTGTATGTCTTGGAGACGAACTTCTAACAATATTGGAGCCTGCGTTGATCGTTTTGCAGCGTGTCGGAATCTTCTTATCTGAGGTGCCCCGGTAAGTTTCTGACCATGAAAAGCAAACCATCAAGAGGTTTCAGAATTTCTGAACTGACAGTGTAATTATCAATTTTATGCAGCGAATCAGACTTACAATGCAGCGTCGCCTTGGCCATCAATAAATTTAGATCCCGTAATGCCGTTTGGGGCATTTTCCCCATCTCCGTCACCTAGTCCAGTTTCTGATGCTTTAGTGCACGCCACTCAAGTTTCCATCATGTTGCTCCCACTGCTTCTTTGGATATTAATCAACACGTGAAATTTCATTTATTGTTGTCGGCTCTAGGTTTCCAGGATATTGTATATTTATTAATTATTAATGAGTCATCACTATCCAAAAGTATATGCATAAATTGTAATAATCATATCAATAGATGCTAGTCCTCATAAAAAGGATGCATTTGAATTTACCTTTGAAGGAATTACCTTTTGTTTAAACTTTAGAATTTAAAGTCAGTGTCTAATATGATTTTCAAATACCAATAATTTATTACCAAAAAATTATAACCATATAGCTCTCTGTCAAGCTATTGCTCAACGCATGACCAAGCCATGTTGTCTCCTCGTTTTAATATTCACATACACACAACTGTATCTAATGAATGATTTGTTTGAAAAAATTAGAATGTTTTAGGGACTTTGACCAATTGCATTGGTCTTTATGCATGAGTTAGTCAAGAACTACTTCCTCTCTTTTTATTTATAGGAGAAATATTACTTTTAAAATAAAATCACATTTTTTAATAAACATTTATTGCAAACTTCTTAAATTATCCTCAATAATTTTATTATTTATAATCATAAGAAATAATTAATGAATGCTTGATTAATACAATTAATGAAGAGTATTGTACTCCTATTCTTTTATTTTTGGATACAATTAATATAGTTAAGCGATTTTTTTAAACTGTATAATGTAGTTTTTTTCTTTTATAAATAAAAAAGGAAGGAGTATTCTATAATAACAAATGAAGTGAGTAGTAATTTTAAGACACTTTTTATATTCCATAACCTAACATCCTAGAAAACTTAGGTCGCGTTTGCTTACTAGAATAAAATAAAATGGAAAGGATTGAAAAATTGAGACAAAAATAAACTAAATCACCATTTCCCCCATGTTAAGCATAATAAAATTCATTAATATGTATTAAAAAATGTGAGAATCATCACACCCTTAAAAATCTCATGAATCATGATTTTTAACCCCATAAACTAAATTATCCCTCCATTTATGAATGACTTCATCTATTTCTTTTGATTATCTTATTTTGAAAAAACTAATCATTTAGTCTTGTAGTTTTGACCTAATTATAACTCAGTCCCTGAAATTTTGACTCGGTTATAAAACAGTCCCTGAACTTTGCGTCTTATAATTTAGTCCTTGAAATTTTAACCTCTTAAATATTGGTCCCTATATTTTTAAAAATAAAATTATAAAAATTAAAAATATTTTAAACTTTTAATATTTATAAATATTAAAATGATTAGTAATTTAAGATATTAGTAATAAATTTTAAAATATTTTTTATAATTTTATTTTTTTAAATATAAAGACCAATATTTAAGAGGTTGAAATTTCATAGACTAAATTACAAGAGACAAAGTTTAGAGATTGATTTACAACTGAGTCAAAATTTAGGGATTGAATTATAACTGGATTAAAACTACAGGGACTAAATGATTAATTTTTTCTCTTATTTTTATCTTTATTTTTTTAAAACAATCCATTCCTTTTGTTCTAATAAACAAACATGACCTTATGGTATTATTAATAGCAAACTCATGAATACTTCAAAGATGTCTTTGATATATTTATTAATTCACATATTTCAGGATTTGAATTTACAATTTCAAGATAAATTGATTCTACTTTTTTGATTAAAATTGAGTTTCTTAGACATATCAATTAAGCTTAGGTTCGCTTAGATGGTCAATTAGAGCCAGTCCAGCTCTAAAGGCTGGCCCTTTAAGGCTTAGCCAAGGCCTAAACGGGTTGACCTTTTAAGCTTGATTATATCTCAAGGCTCTATTTTTAGCAATTTGGCCCTAGCCCTCAAGGCTGAAGGGCTGAACTCAGGGCCTCGGCCCTAATTATTTTTTTATTTTTAAATTTAAAAATTTTAAAAAATATATTTAAAATTCTAACAAATTTATTACACATCACATTAAGTCTAAGAAAATAAAAAAAAAATTAATTCACACAACAAAATTTTTAAGTCTGATAAAAAAAATTCCAAAATCAACTCTGACATCAATTACATGTTGGTAGCATCATCAGCTAAATCTTGATGATTTTCATCACCATCAACATTAATATTATTTGATCCTTCTCCTTGTGGATCCTCATGAATGACAAATATATTAAGCTTTTCATATCTTCCTTCTTCATCCTCATTATTTGCAATAAACAATAAACCAAAATTATAATTTTAAGGTATTTAAAAAATGCAAAAATATTCAAAGTAAGTAAATAATAATAAGTTGGCCTTCAACTCAAAACCATGCAACTAATTACGAGTATAAATGATAGCCTCAACATTATCTAGAAGAAGACAAACCTCAACATTATCTAAAAGAAGAGAACTCCAATACTTTGTCAAAACACGTGAACCAATACTAAAAGTTGATTCACTAGTCACAGTAGTGATTGAGACACTAAGAATATCAGCAGCCATTCTTGAAAGAATTAGAAATCGATGTTGGTTGTTCCTCCGCCAATTCAATACATCTAAATCTTTCCAGTTATGAGGCTTAAGTATTAGTTCATCCAGATAATTCTCTAATTCAGACTTGTCTAAAAAAAATCATCTATACTCATAAAAATATCTTGATAATCCTGCATTATAATTTCCAAAAATTAAAAAAATATAACTTAAATACTAATAAAGTAAAACAATATTAATTGATAAAGTATTTAAAATTTACATCAAATGTATAATCAAAAGTGGTCGTTGATGATGTTGAAACACTTGTAGTGTGAGACGCACATTTATTGTAACAGTTGAAGTTTTTAAACTTGATTCACCTCCCACACCAATAGATAATGTCCTCATATTTAAATATTCATGAAAAATAAAATTTAACTTGCTCTTGATGTCTGCAACCTTCTCATAGCAAGTAATGGGGTCAATCTTTAAGTAAAAATATTGTATCATATTAAATTTTCATCGTGGATCAAAAATCACACCAAGTGCAGGATGACACTATAATCAATCCAATACTTGTTAAACCTCTCTTTCATTCTCGTAGCTATCTCTTGAATGACAAGATCAGCGTTCACCTTATTTGCATCAAGCAACAGTTGAATTTTTTATATTGCATAAAATACATATTTGAAGTAGGATACGATGAACTTGAAATTAATCTTGCTTACTCATTTAGTCATGCGCATCGTGCATGTTTGGAGTTTGACAAGTGTTGAGAAATTTGCTTATGTGGTGCGTGTCTTGCTTACTTTTTTTTTTACTTTTTTACTTTTTTATGATTTTTTTTTAAATATATTAAGATTTAAAGGGTTGGCTTTTTATTTTCGAGTCCTTTTAAATTTGATTTACTTTTTCAAAAACTAAAATAGGGGCCTGATCCTCAGTTTTTTTCAGGCCTAAAAAGACCAGCCTTATGGGCTCGTCCCTAATTGATGGCTCTCCGCTCAGACTCAAGGTGTATTGGGCCTGAATTGGATCAATAGGTACAGTCAATGGGCCAAGCCCAATCACAATAATTGGTAGAATTACTCTTTCACTTGCTTCACCATTCGGCAAACGAGCATCCAAGGCTTCGCGGAGGTCCAATAACCGGTTAACTTCCGGTGAGGGGTAACACAAAAGGAAAAGAAATACAGTACACGCCACGCAGTTCGTTGAGACGAAAAATGAAACAACTCACCGAGGCTCTCACACTACAGTCTCAAGCCATCACCAGGCATTTTAGCATATTTGCCATCAGAATCCGCCATGATCTCCGACCAGATGGTACCTCTGTCTTTTCCATTTGCCTTTTCCTTGGCCTCCAATTATTCAAAAGTCGATCTCCCTCCACTTTTTTTTTTTAAATTTTATTTTGATATGCAGTATGTTTTTTTTTTTTGCCAGAGATTCTTTGCTTTAGTAATTGAAGTTTGAAGCTCGTGTCGCCTGCTCCTGGAGCCTCGATTTTCGCGAGTTCATTATCCAAGCACCTGATCCTCTTTAATTTCATCCTCATATTGGCTTCCAATTGGTGTCCTGGCTCGAGGCTTTTAGAATTCGCTCTATTTCAATTTTGAGGTACTTCTTCCATACGATTTCGCAATGTGGAACCATAGTAATTGGCTAGACTCAAATCTGAGTTTTATTTCCACGAGTTAAATTTTGCAGGGATTGACGAACTTGATTGAGCAGCAGAAATGCTTACGTGCATAGCTCGTCCGAAGAAACTCGGGCATGAGTCACTGAATCAGCCCGATGAATCCGATTCTACCAACTCAAGCGCCGCTAAGAGTCAAGCTGCCAAATCCCTCACTTCTCAGGTACCTAATTCTTCTTCTGTAGTTCCGATTAGAAGCTTCGTCAGATTGAAGTATCAAATTCAAATCTCCATGTTTCGTTTAGCTCAAGGATATGGCGTTGAAGGCATCTGGAGCTTACAAGCATTGCGCCCCCTGCACCGGACCACAGACACAGAATCGATTCCGGGGAAGTAATGAGTCAGATGTGGAGTCGGATCGGTTCCGATGGTCCTACCGGAGAACAGCGAGTTCAAGCTCGACAACGACGAGGGCATGGGGGAAGGAGATGGAAGCGAGACTGAAGGGGATTTCGAGTGGGGAGGGAACGCCGAACTCTTCCAGCGGACGGCGGGTAGAGCCGGTGGTGCTGTTTGTCGAAGAGAACGAACCTAAGGAGTGGGTGGCGCAGGTGGAGCCCGGCGTATTAATCACCTTTGTATCACTTCCGAGCGGAGGGAATGATTTGAAGCGAATCAGGTTCAGGTACGCCTCCAATTACTTCTCTTGCGGGGACACTGGGCATCGTATTATTTCTTTAGGTGCCGTTTTGAGTTTTGATCGGACGGCGACCGTTCGTGACAGTTTTGGTCAAGGTGGGCATTTGGAATTGGATCCTACAGCATCAAGCAAATAGTGATGTGATGATAATGACAATGAGTGCCTTTTCCTCCGGTGAACTGTCAATTTGTCTCGCATCATTACTGATACATGGACAGCCAAGTTCTTAGGTTATCCTTGATTTAGGATTAGTGGTTCGTATAAAATACGAAACTAAATTTATCTAAGAAAAAACATTAATTATGCTGAAAAAACTTAAAAAACTCAATGTATGATGTATGAAATGATAAAACAAATTAACTTTTTAAAACCATAGTATTTTAAAAAATAAATCTGTTCCTATTATTCCTATATCTGCTCATCATGGACTTGTTTCCTTAGGACATGACCCCTAAGGAGTTACCTGACTAGATCTAACCGCATTGAGGAGGGTGAACCTATTTAACCCCATCAACTTCTAATAACTCCAGTATGATTGTTAGTGTAAATGTATAATATTTAATGTTGACCAACCAATATAAATACATATATTGTCATTGCATATTAATAGTAAATTTTTTTTATAAAAATAGATAAAGAATATTAAAATCAAGAAAATATTAAGAACTATATATTGATATCAATATTTATCATCAAACAGAGGCAATTTCTTTGAATAAGCAAATGATAGGTTAAATATATTTTGTTTTGATGTTTTCGAATAAAAACAATGCTCCTGAATATACTTATTAAATAACTTAATAAAAGATGTAAGGATGCTCTTTTTTATTACTTATAG